TATAAGTTATAAATATATTTTACATATATATAACGGAGTCTTAAGTTATAAATTCATAATGCGTGTGTATATATGTATTTATACATTTCGAATAAATAAAAGTTGAATTTTCCATGCACCTATTATATAAAAGGATATACTATAACTTACAATTGAGACATACATACTCATATAAACGCACATACATAAATAGATTTAATTTTCAAAATTATATAGAAATGCAATAATCCCTAAAACTATGCTTTACTCATATGCATCAATAAAAATAATGAACGGTTATACACACACTTAATTTTTTTTTTTGTTTTTTATTTTCTTATTGCATTTTACTTTTATATTTGTTTTTCTCTAACGTATATGCAACAAAAAAAAAAAGGAGAACAGCAGAAATATTTTTTGAAAAAAGGATTTAGTTTTAATATGCCTAGAATATTTTTAGGTATTCTACGGTCATTCTACATATTGCATTTCTTATACTTATATGACTTCAATTTTTTATATATTTTAAAATTCCAATATAACATTATAATATTTTCTTATATATTTTGCATATTTATAGGCGTCGTCATATATATTCTTGTATAATATTACGTGTATATAATTATGTTAACACACCTGAAAATGATTGTTATTTGGCACTTTTTATTTTTTATTCTTTTCCACTCTGTTTTTACTATATTGTATAGTTAGGCTCTAATAAGTAGGGAAGGGATGAACGAATGTGCATATAGAAATGAAGCGAAAAGTGTTTTTCTCGTGAAAATTTGTAAGGACCAAAAGCATTTATACATATACTTTTACATATTTATTATTGTTATACTTTTTTTTTTTTAAATTTACCTTCAAGCGTAAATTGTGAAAATTTTCTTTTTCATCATGATCAAATATTTTGCGTTCCTTCTGCTTTTTGTTTTGTGTTTTTTTTGGTCTTCCATATATTTTCATATAAAGTTTTTTAAGTCCTTTTTCTACTAGATATAGATCCTTGTTATTTTCATGATAACTGTGAAAACTTATAGTTTCAGTATTCTTTCAGATTTCTATATTCTAGGGTTTTGATTTTCTATTTAATATGGGTGGTATATTTTTTGTTTTTCCAAAGCATTGGATATTAGATCTATCTATAAATATATTAAAATATAAATGTCGTAGGTGCATATATTTTATTTGTAGTGCATTTAAAAATATATTTGTATATAGAAACAGTGCGTTATATGCAAATAAATTAGAATTTAAAAAAATAGAATGTGTACACAGGGTGTTGTTATCAAATAATTTTGATTCAGTATATTACAGATCTTATATAAATATGATATATATTAGGGTTGTAGCCTGAATTATTAACAAAAATTGTTTGCGATATGCCATTTATGCCAATTGCTTATGATATGCCACATGGACTAATTAAATTTCTAATAGCATTTGTGTGAGCTGAGCCTCACAAAAATAACAAAATTGCATTGCTACCATGTTATGTTCAAGAAGGCAATATGTAGCTGACAATCCATCATTTCCTGCTCTTGTTCATTTGAATCATCTAAATATCTAATCGAGATCAGTTTCCTTAGGGCACATAAATATGGTTGAGTTAGTGATCTCCTATATTCGCGTTTTGCTTCACATTTCTTACTTTCACTTGCTCATCTATGATCTTTAATAAAATTAACTATACTCTCCTTTTTAATCATAATTAAGTATTGTAATATCTAAATAAACCCTGTACTATATTAAAAAGAAATATAATAGTTGCATTCGATATTTCTTTTCATAAGTCCAGAAATAATAAAACAAGAACATTAATCCCTCTATAATAATATACACGTACGTATATTTAGGTGCTCATTCGCATTAACTATATTTATGCATATGTATATGTGCCTTAAAATGTAGTGCACATATTAGAAGAAGGACAAGGCAATGCAATTTTAAAATTTTGCAAGATATCATTAGAAAAAGGAATTTTTGATGTTTTATTTTTTGTTTTTTCCTTTTTGGTTTACCAATGTTTATGCTAGAAAGAACATCTCTTACATTCACTATTCATATATGTAGGTTGTACATATATAAAATATCTAAATAGAAAAACGTCCAAAGATAGGTGGACTTCATCCTAAAAAAATTTGTTTTTTATTTTTTATGCGTTGTGTTTTTGTGCTTTTTTTTACCACACTTGCATGAATTTGTAATAAAAAGTGTATATATAAGAGCACAAGAACAGATCTTTACGATAGTCATGTTGAAATTGCATTTGAAGAAGAAACAAAAAAATACAATATTGAAGGATTTACGCATAAATGCTATATATAAAAATAAGTTTACATTTAAAATATATTTGTGTATAAGAATATATTGATAAGGCTAGTAATATTAGATCTATTATAAGCAGTCATATGTGTATATATGCCCCGTAAATATGAGTCAAGGAGGCCATGTAGAGGAAAAGAATGATATGAGAAGAAATCAGAAATTTATAAACGTTTATGGAGAGCAAATGGAAAATACCACTTTAATGACATATTATGTACGAGGAATGGGAACGCGAGGGTTATATTTAAAAAGAAAACGTATTAATATTTTTGTGCGAAGAATGTACGTATGTGTATATACGTATGTGTGCATTAGTTGTATTAACTCCATGTGAATGAAAAATTTTTTGTTTTTTTTTTCTTTATTTCACATTCTTTCTAGATTTTAACTGTAAATTTCTTATATAATTAGATCTACATATATTTAAAATATATATATATATCTGTCATATTATGCATATATTATATCTTGTGCGTTACATGCGTGTGTATATTTATATTTATGTAAAAATGAATGACAGTGAATAATATTTTGTTAGTGTGTACCTATATAGTCTTACCTCTATATAAAATGTATGGAATGCCGTGTCTCTATAACAATCTTCATGGTCATATGACAACAGTTTGAAAAAGAAAATTAACTGCAATAAAAATAATAAAATGCTTATGTATATACGATTGAGCATTGTAATGTATGTATGTCTGTATATTTTCTAATATATGTATGTATATTGTATATTAATATTATAAATAAGTAGGTATAAGCGTATGGCGTTAATAGTATGAGGTGCAGTGCAATACACGTTATAATATTATTTTACATTTTCAAGACAAGGTCCTGTATAAAAAAAATTATATATTAACACGTATGGGAATTTAATATTATTTTAATGTTAACGTACAAGTTATTTGCATATATGAAATTTAAATGTTTGTGTGCGAATATTAAAGAAATTTTTGTACGTATAAAAATGAAATTTAATATTCAGAATTCAATTGATTTTTAGACCGAAATTATTTATTCTTTACACATTTTTGTAACAATATGGCGTAGATCTAGAAATTTTACAATAACACTACTTTAAAAATTATTTTTAATTAAAATATGTAAAAAACAAGTTTTAGAAAAATGTATTCCTTTAAAAACGTGGTCTTGATTCAATATGATGTCATATCTGACATATCCTAAAAGTTGATTAATCCAGGCAATGACTAAATTAAACTCCTATATAAATTATCATCAAAATCAATTTAGCCGCAATTGAGATATACGAGTATAGGTATAAACCGACATCTAGCTTAAAGTGGTTTACGAGTAAATTTCGCTTAAATATTAAGCAAAATTTCCTCTAAATTCTCGTCATGTAAAATTTTGTGCCATCATCTATTTAGCTTCAACATTGTATATAACTTATACGTTTAGAGAGTTGAGTCTTAATAACATTCAACTGGATTAAGCATACATATAAGCATAGTAAGCGGATAATTATTTGACTTCGATTTCGTTTAGCTGTCTTCAACACAATTTCCTATAAAATGAATTAAAATTAAATTAGAATTTTTTATTAACTTTTAAAATTTTTAAAAAGTTAGAAGTATTGGAATAGAATTTTAGTTCAATACAATTTTTTTCTATAAAATATTACTATAAATTTTTAATTTCAATTAATTAATTGATTGCATATTTGATTAGAGCCTTTCTATATACATATATATAATATTGGGTATATACCTTTGTAAATTTAACATATAAAACCAATAATATTAAAAATTTTCTAATCAACTTTTATTTACCTCCAATATATATACATACATTATAAATGTACATAAAAATTTCTAACCGGAATTTTATTATATAAATTTATTTTAGAAAAAAAAATGAGAAAATAAATATGTAATGCTGTGTAATAAAATGTCAAACACAAATATAAAATATTTAAATGACGATATAAAAACCAAATTTTGCCACAAAATTCGATTTTATTTTCTAATTTCATAATATTTAATTCAATTTCAATTTCAATTAATTTTATTTCTTTTATATAGTTCCATAATATCTATACAATATTTATTATTTTTCCCCGCCAACGAGACAAGGTGAGGATTCCACCTTTCATTTTTTATTCCCATATATTTTAAATATTTTTCTAAGCACGAAAATATTAGTTTGTATATGGGAATGCTAGGCAATCTAGTCTCTATAATATTATATTTTTTTTTTTTGCATAAAAACAGAATTTTAAATGAAAATGAATTATTAACTAATTTAGATAAACAAAATTAAATTAAATTTTTTATTTATAAATTATATTTCATTCATATTATGTAATTTAAATACGTTATGTTGTGTTATACATTTGAAATACTGCATAGAATATAACATTACTATTTAGGTTGTCTTCATGTAAATTGTTTACAAATATAACTGTGTTTGCTAGTATTTTAAATTTTATAATAATTATGTATATAATGTGAAATTATAATATATTATGATTGTATAGGTTAATGGCGAGAACGGAACATCTCAATTTGTCCTGTTTGAATAAATAAAAAATTGTTCGCTTCTATATAGGCAGAGAGCCATTACTGTTTATTTATTAAAATTTAATAAAATTAATTTATTTCAATATTTAAGTTGTGCAGTTAACAGAAAATCAATTGAATTGAAATTTTTTTTGTTTTTTGTATTTTCAGTATCGAATAATTGAATATCAGATGAATTTGAAGTTGAAATATTTGGAGCTTATATTATTATCACAAATTACTGATAGTGCCTTATGAGATGACTAAGAATATTAAATGAAGTAAAAAATTCAAATATAGTAGACGATGGCTCTATTCGGTAAGTCAATAAAAAAATAATCTCTTAATATAAAAACTTATTAATTAAGCTTTAATTTGCGTTACGATTTGAATTTCTTTTGAAAGATGGGACCTTAAAATATCTGATGACAGATGTAATCCCAATGATTTTTATGCTTGCGATTATAAGCCTACTAAAAGTGATTACAAGTCTACTGAATGTACAATATGTACTTCTTCTAGTGGAATAGTCTGTACAAATATTTACGTAAATACCTGTACATAAGCTCTAACAATACACATATATTTCAATTTGCCTCCTTTTGAAAAATAACGCAAAAGTTTACAACATTTAGCTAGTTTTACAGCTCTGAAAAAGAGCAGAAAAATACAAAGTGAATTTAATTACTTATTTATTATTTTTAATAATGTTATACGAACTTTGTTTGAAACTACTACTTATAATAGTTTTTCTTTAATCTTTCAACCGAAATAGTTAACTTTTATATACGTATATGAAATGCTTTTAACTTTTACATAAAAGTCTGCTCTCTGCATATGAAAAACGAACAACAAAATTTCCACTTTGAAATTTAAATTTTTTAAACTTTTCATAAAGGCCTTTCTCTTTCTATCTCTCTCTCTCTCTCTCTCTCTCTCTCTCTCTCTGTGTATGGGGATTTCTCAAAGAAACTCAAGTGTAAAGATTGCTTAATTGTGAAAATTAACCTAATTTTAATATACGAATTTATTTGAATTGCCATTTTATTTTTCTTCATTTTTAAATTAAAAATAAAAATTAATTTTTTTCCCTATAAAATTTTTGTTTGGGATTTAAATAAATAATGTGTCGCGTGAATTTGATATTTTTTTATAAATTAATATTAAATATGTGTGTAAGATTCTGGACAAATATATAACTGTTTTTTTTATCTATTGTACTTCATAGGGAAGCGACAACATAAGTCCAAAATGAAAATTTAAATGTTATAGCAAAAGCCGCTATTTTAATTTCAGAGAATTTTTTAAAAGAATTTAAGACGAGAATACACATTTGTAAACAGCTGGAAAAATTGATAACCAAATGAGACGATAGTCAAAATTAATCTAAAATATTTGTACCTCATTAAATTTTTACACCTGATGATGAGGACTTTACTCCTAATACTTTTCTAATAAATGAGGCTTAACTACCCCAAAAGTATGCAATAAAATACTAATTGCCTATAAGTATGTAATGTACTTTATAGAATTAACATAGTAGTAATCATGTTAATTTTCAATAAATTTTAAATATTGTTTTTAACGCCGGTTTGTATAAAACGAGGGAGTTAAAGAAATCCGAAGATGTATATAAGTTGAAAGCTCTTTTATATGAAAACTTTCCTTTTTTAACCAATTGACTTCCCCGAAATTAACTCATTTAGCTCTGATTGAATTTGGAAATAATTTCTTTGATGAGTTGTAACAAACAGTAACTCCAGTATAGTTTTTATAACGAGAAAACATAATTGTAGTAACTATTCAAATAACTTAGTCATTCTTACACGTTTTCGCATACACCTGTATGATTAGCATTATTTCTTTTTCGTGAACATATACATACATGGAAGTCTACAAGCATATCTTGTATGTCGCTTTGAATAGTTAAACAAAAGATAAACTTTTTCCAAATATGCAAATCAGTTCATCTCCATTTAATAGTGCACGGAATCTCGCTGTTTATATAAAAAAAAGAACAAATAAACACAAAGAGTTATAAAAATTGTTTTAGTAGTAAAAAAAAAAATTCTGTTTTGTTTCTGCACAAATTTACTTAATAAATTCTCGGCAGTAGCAAGCTATTCAAGTCAGTTGACTATTTAAATAACGGATATGATTTCACTGAAGTGTGTAGGTCTCCAAACATATCTAAGATCAAGTATTTTTTAGGTATTTTTGGTCTTTGTCCGTCTGCCGTTTATTGTATTCAATTTTGTCTATAAAATGTGCTTCCGGCCAAAATACATACCCTTTGGGATGTGGTTTTCCTCTTCAGGATTTTGAAGAAACATCTTCTTTTACATGAGCTGCGATTTCTCGATTGTTGCAAGCTGAACTTGCCTTTAGTTCAACACATATAGCTTCGATCCTTTGCCGATTATTAAAATCGTATTTACTGTTATACTTGAATATTAAAAGACCATTCTTACTAAAATTTAAATCGGAATGATATTCCAAATATAGTGACATATTGTTTCATTAAAACTTAATCATAACAGCCGACAGCGCGTATAAAAGAATAATTTTATATGCGGTATATGCGATTATATAATAATTATTTTCATAAGTATGAATTTTTTATATGTTTTCTTATGTTATATAAGTGCATGTACAATATGCATTTACTAAAAAGCCGGATGATCCCAAATACTTTTACCACATAATTTATGCCATCATAATAAAAATGTATACCAATGCTGTTTTGGGACTTTGGGTGCATATCATAATATATGCAAACGCGAATACACCATTGAATAACAGAAAAATGTTTGTTGAAAAATTAAATGGTGGAATGAAAAATTTTTTGACGGTGCAATGGAAATTTTCAATGAAAGTGAAAATAAAAAAGTGAAATGTTATAAAGGACCTTTAGATAACACGGGTACGATAGAAGGATATGAAAAACAGGATTTTTTTTTCTTTTTTTTTTTTTTTTTGTTGCAGCTCGAATTTCGAGTGTAGCAAAGTTGAAAGAAGTGAAGTTTTTTTGCTGATTTTTTTTTATATTAAAATTGCTTTAAGGTTTTATAAATTTAATATATGAGCATACATAGGTTATTTATGTTGTTTAATTAGTATACGTCATACAAATAGAATTAATACATATAGGAATTGGAGTAAAGGAAGTTCTAATAAAAATTAATTTTAGATTCAAATGGCAACCAGGGAATTTACGGTAGGATTCATTAAAGGTTCAAATTTCGAAAATTAAATAAAATTTTAATAAATAAGAAAATCTTGCAATTCATTGAGTTACAATCTTAACCATTTCTCGAATTCTGTACCGGATTGAATACATCGAAGGGTAGCACAAATAAGTAAGTGTTAAGCACATTTTTCAAAATACCAAAATAATTATTTTTCAATTACCGGTGAGAAGCCGTACATAAACCAAATTTCTCCTAAATTTATGCAATTAAATATGATAATAAGGGAAGCTATGTGAATGCTAAATTTTCATCTCAAGAATTATTATTTAATTTCTTTTACAAGAAAATTTTTCAAAAATTATTTAAAAAAATTCAAATTTTTATCTAAAATTAACCATTATTTTTAATTTAATTAAAACTTTCATATACAATAATTTGCAATTCATTATACCATTACTAATAATATTTTATTATTACCGTTATTTATTATAACAATATTATTTTATACATTTATATATTCAAATGTATATAATATATTATACCGTAATTACAATATATAATACAAAAATCCTAAATTTCATATGTTTGAATTTGACGCACGCATATGCTATTAGTGAATAAATATAAAAAGTATATCTAGAGTATAGAATGAGAAATAAAATAAAATTTACAAAATTTAATTCAATTTATAAATAAATAATTTATTATTTATCTCATAAGCATACAATTGTATATAAAATATAAGACTACGTATATACGTTCGGATTTCTTTATCTTATATGTGCAATATGCTCCTATATTTATGCTATAAGTATGGTATTCAAAATTTTTTGTATATTACATACATTTTAAAGTTAATTTTATGAATACGAATATTTGTATCCTTTTTATATTCGCTAAAAGTTACTTATATACTATACGCGTATAATATGAAGCCGTATATTAATATATATATATTAAAATATGTACGTGAACGTGTTCTTTATATTATCAATTATGTATGTACGTGCAATTTAAGTATATAAGCGTGTCTATTTTTGTTATTACGTCTGTATGTTAATTTTTAAAAAATTTTCATTTTAAAAAAGAATATAAAATTTCATATTATTTAAATAGACTTATGTAATAAAATTTTATTTATTATTTTAATGTATACTTACATATATGTACATAAATACCCATTATATAAATACTTACATATCACGTTCATTGTTCAAATGTAAAAGATGAATATTGAATGGTTTATTTGCCTTTAGGTTTAGTTTTTTTTTGTTTTAGTTGTTGTTGCCAGCGAATTTCCAAATTTTTACTTGATAGACTTTCTTTTAAGAGCTTGTCAACAAATGTATAGAGTATTTCGTTTGTGGCATATTAAATGGTAACCTCAAAATTATGTCGCAATGCTCTTCAACTGTACATTAAATTAGAAAGCATATACAAAAATTTCAGAACAGTACTTTAGTCTTCTTTAGATTATTCTGTATTTTTATTTTGGATTTTCAATTGCTTTCGATTTATTTTTGTTTTAAACTAGCTAGCTACTTTTAAAAACATAAATGCAATTCAAGTTTTACAAAAAATAAAATTGCATATGTAATAGGCGTTAAATAATTTTTCGAAAATAAAATATACATTTTAATAAAATTCAAATAAAATTTTCAGGGGTCACCTATAATGTGTCAATAATTTTTATAGAACTCAGTCCGGGTTACATAACGGTATTAGGTCATTCTTGGGCTTTTATTTTCTTTATGCATAGAGAAAAAATCTTAATAATTATGAAGCCTTTTTATATTCTAAAAGAGGACAAGTTTTTGTTAAAATTAAAAAATTTTTCAAAATGCTTTTGTTTTTTTTTTTTTAATTTGTGAAACTGTTGTACATTCAATATTTTTTATTGTAATATAAATCCTTTTTTAGTGCAAATAATTTTAAAATGAAAAATAATTTATCACCACTGAGTTTTAGAAAGAAGAAAACTTAAAAAACAATGGAAGACCAAACATGTTTTTTCCTCTTGGACGTACAAATTTTATTCCTATACATTATTAAATATATCCTTATATGCATTTGCACATGGGTACACAATTATTCTTAATAAAACGAAAAAAGGAAAAAGCCAGAACCT